CTTCATACCAAGGTAGTTTAAACATACAGGATGTGATAAACAGTCAACACGATTGAATTTAACCATAGTCTGTTGAATGATATAATAATTTCATCAGGAAATTTGACCTTGCTAACAAAACAATGTATATAATCACAGTCCCTCTAGAGGACTGTGATATAATAATAAACGTTGCCACGGTTAGCAGCGTATGTTTGAAAGCGCAATTTTCGTCAAAATGTCATTTGGTGAAAAAACACGATTAAGGGGTAGAGAAATCTCTGAAATGTAAATGACACGCCCGTACAAACTATACTACCCGCATCTATTGTAAATTCTAAAATCATATGTACTAGTAATACAGATCTTACATTTAATGCGATCAGTGGTTGTATAGTTGTTCCATCCTTTTGTTTAACACCAATTGGTGCCTGTAGAAACCTGAAATCATACTTGATCTAAAATATAATGAAATTATATTAATTAAGTATACAAATGCATACGAATCAAGTTAAGGTAGCAACACAGGAAAACGAGTCAAATTAAATTGTGATTCAGACATTTTCTAAAATTTATGCTACTGTAACAATCTGTACATCACATGTAATAGTAGTTTATAAAAAACAAAAACAAAAAAAAACGTCTAGATATTTTTAATAGTTATTTAGGACTACGATTACCCAATATATTATCTTCAATATATTGTACATCACATGAATGCTTAGATGTAGGTGAATACGTCATCATAGTTAATCAATGGGAAAGTTAAAGGGAAGTTCAAGAACGGAAAACATTGTACAGGTTTTAACAAAGATATTCCACTACATGGCCAAAGACGGCCATGGTCAATATTTGGTGATTTTGGTGCGAAATGCACACCCTACTCCACATATGGCACCAATCATATTTTAGGCCAGGAAAAAAATTCTCTGTTTCTCGTTTCATGGAAATTGTAAAATGAGGCGGCGAGGCGATTTTTTTTTGAATACTGAGCTGAAATGGGGGAAATTTTAGACAATTGCGAGTACAAGCGCATTATGGAATGCTTTAGAAGAGAAAAAAAACGTCCGAGGCGCATAGTTCAAAATGATGCACGCGGAAACGAGAAACAGAGATATTTTTTTCTCAGCCTTAATTTACGTCACAAACAACAGCTTGTCGTTCACATCAGCTACGTAACATTGATGTTGATGATGTTACTATAGTTGACCAAAAGCTTATCATATATGTCAAACCACCACACATATAATTAATGCACTAAAGAACAAATATTTCGATCCTAGCATGACGGGCCAGAAAATACAAATCGAATCAACAGTGCTATTTCAGTCCATCCTTAGACAAAAAGTAGACATTTGATGAAATGAATTGAGGTAGCGACAAGGGGGGGGGGTACATTTTCCAGAAAAAATATCAGAATCTAAACATTATATTGCGATCGTTGTCTTTGATACAAAATACCAGTATATTATCAAAAACCCAGTTGTAGGTAAACATCTCTCTGTGTATTTACAAAACTTCCATCATCTATTTATATCCCACGATCGCAATGCTTTAAACAAATCTGTCTTTGATGTATGACGTCACGATCAAAAAAAGTCCCAGGCACGAAACAGTTCCGAGACTCGATTTGATTCGGTGAAAACATTGTCGGTGGTTCTCATGAATATTAAGACGAACATTTTGGTCGTATCGCAGCATTCACAACACATGTATATTGCCATAGTTACATGTTTAGTATCATGTGGTAAATACAATAACAATTAAACTGTTCCTCGGAACAAAGTATATAGGTAGGAACCTTACCCAGTAATAGCAGCTTTTGATATCCACGTCTGCAGTCTCTAGGCATCGATCTAGAACTGCCTGTAAGGTAAAAAGTATTATTATACAAAGGGCGTGTTGTGCTTTGGGAATTTACGACATTTATATTGTATTTTGGTAACGTAGTCATCCATACACATTTCCCCTTGCCTATTCTTTCCTTTTGGTAATACAATCTCCGAATTACAAATGACTATTTTAAAAGTTTTTTGGATTTAAAAAGTTTAAAAGAAATTAAGAAAAGATGCGATGTTGGCACATGCGAATACAAATTGTCCTGAATGGAATAGAGATGCTACACCCAGGTGCGAAAAACATGTATATTTTTTTCTAGTTAAAAGAGTTGATCATTTCTCATCCATTACCCCATTCACGACATAGTGTACTTTGAAGTGCACAGTATTCTGGGTAACGTAATATACTTACAATACAGACTTCCGGTAGGTGTTCAATCAGTCCAAGCATAGGGGCGCCTAGCTCGGTGGAAATCATCAACATTGCTTCTTTCCATCTGCGAATACATCAGAAGAGAAATAATATTGAGAGGAAATAACATCAGTTTTAGAATCACCGAGGAATTACCTATTTGTTCTCTGCGCCATATTCATATATTTAATCGTGATACACTATTCCGTACTTACATAAGCAAACTTCTTCTAATTGAAATAGCCTACATAATTTATTCGCAATTTTGTTGATTTGACCTGAGTTGGTTGTTACCTGTCGTGCATGACGAATGCTAACGCAACATCCTTGTTTTTCATCTGTATGGCGAAATCGAGGCTGCTCCAACCTCGTTTGTTGACAAGCAAGTGTGCATCTTCACTCAGCAAGTATGATACTGCATTCGCATTAGCTTCTCTTGCAGCCAAATGAAGAGCAGTGTTCTGGCGGGAAAACACATTCAATTTTGTTGTATTCGTATAATAGTGTAGAATAACAATTATGTATATAACAACAATGGACTGGTCGCTAGTCCCATCAAGTTGCTTTGATTGACATTATTGTTTTGTGAATATACTCTTTTGCAAATAACAATACTAAATGAACCATTTACTGGTAGTCTCACTTCATATACCTATAGATGTCTGACTTTTAAATCGTTAGTAGTATCCTGAAATTTGAAAGTGTCACCATGGTAACCGCGGTAATAGCATTATGTTTTTATTTGCATACCGCTGTGTGAATTACTCACCCCATCGTCTTCAACCTGGTCGATCAAGTGCGCATGCGTTCCCAATAGCACTTTCATTGTGTCTGTATATCCAGACATAGCTGCCAGATGCAACGGTGTGTTACCTTTGTGGTCTCTGGTTTTGGTAAGCATGGATAAATACAATTACATGTATACAATTAATTGGTCATTAAAAACGCTGGGGGTGTATTTTATTGTTTACAGTATATGTATATATTCAAAATCTAGTGACGTTTTACTCACCCAACCACTCAAAGAAATCTAATAAAACATACCTATGTAACAATGCGCCTCTTGCCATTAACAACTGGACTACTTTAGCATGGCCATTGTACGATGCTAAATGCAATGCAGTCATCCCCTTTCCATCTGTGTCATTGATGATATGTGGTCCCATTCTACTATCCAATAGACGACGAATTGTATGATATCGACCATATCTATAAGGGCATCAAATATCAAATTAAGAATTCTATTCCGCGTCTATCTGTGCCACTCATTATCGTGTCGAAGTTAAAATAAAATCGGGGTCATTACAAGGCGAGTTTTAATCATTAATCATTTTAAAAGCGCCAAATCAAAATATTTGCAAATTGATTAAGAGCGAGCATGACATTATTTTATCACGACCAACAGACGATATTCCAGTTACAACAGTTGTGTCAATTTGTTTTAGTTTCTCGTTCATATATTTCAAAACACACTTAGTTAATTCAATAGCACTGAATAGAGTAATTGACATTCTCGACAATCATTTCATTTGAACGATCTTTGAGTCACTCAAAAATCATTAAAACACATTATAAAGATGCAGATAGTAACTGCACACCAACCTAGCAGCAAAGTGCATGGGGGACTGCTTTTTATCATCTTTGGCGTTTACCAATGCACCGAGTTCTAGAAGACCTTGTAGTGATTTGATATTTCCTGTTCTCGACGCATAATGCATCGGTGTACAACCACATAGATCCTTTTCATTTAACAGCGCCACAGCATCCGAATCCTGTATCAATGCATATAGACATTATTATTAAAGTTAAATCTTTCAATCCTGAATATAAGGTGTGGCAATTTTTTGTGATGTCTTGACTGTACATTTTTATATTTTTGTTTTAAGTTTTCCAGCTACCTAAGATTGCAAATGGTAGAGCCTGTATCCATCAAATAAGCAAGGAAAAGAAGTTAACAAGTTAATCTCGTACTTAAGATAACATGCTAATTGAGTTAACTACCAGGTCAATCTCATACTTGGAAAAAATGGTAATTAGGTTAACAATCGTCCACTAATGAACTACTTGAGTTTATTTCAATATTTGGTTTCAGTTATTGTTATTCGACATTATATTTTGACAAGATGCCATTTATAAATCAACACGGATAGCAGTATTAACATTCTAATGTTGTATGTACGTCAAATACTGAACTAGAATATATATTTATTTTTTAAATTGACTAGATTTAAATTTCCTAAATTGTGTTTACATCTGTCATTGGAGGTGACAGTACGTAATGTCACGCTTAATGAACGTATGATACTTCGTCGAGGCGGCACAAAAATAAAAATAAGATTGTCTTAAATTTAATAATTGAATCTGTTAAAACAGACAGTAAATTAAACTATTTATAGTACATAGAAATATTTGTGAATGCCTTCTAATAACTTTGTGAATTTATTAAAGATGTATAGACGAAAAAAAATATAAATTGTAATACTGATGTTCAATACACCACACTATAGACCAACTAGAAATCCAATTGCATCCAATGAACACAACACATTGGATGCAAAAACGAAATCACTAATACGCATTGCAGTGATAGCTAGTGTAGGTAACAAAACAAGCAGTGCACATGCGTATCAGAAAGTTTCAATGTTTTGACGAACGAATACTAAAATGTGCGTTACAAGAATAGCGTTTTTCAGTTCATTATAACTCACGGACCGATGAATCTGTCAATATAGGTAGCAAACAACAATGCTTAAATTGTTCTTGTCCATTTTTAATCTTTGCATTGAACACGCTTTTATGTTAGCCCAAATCTCCCGTAATACGAGAGCGAGACACAGTATGACGTATATATTTTACCTGGAATAGTTGTTCATCGAAGTGAGCAAGACTTCCACCATTGATAATAGCAAGATGGAGGATATTTCTCTTCATTTTATCCTTCAATTTGAAATCAGCTCCATTTTCTAACAGAACTTTAACTGTTCTCCATCCACCCTTCGATGTAGCCAATAGCAACGGAGTACGTAAATGCTTATCGAAAGGATCAATCTCAGAGCCCTATTAAGAAGATGGTTACGTAACACTGTCACAATTGTCACTAACTTTGTATTTAAAACGTGTACAATATTGATTTGATCTCTATCATAGTTCAACACTTTGGGTTGGTGCAACATTTCTGAACATTTCGACGTAATAAACGTTAGATGTTATTAAAACATAATGATTCAAATAAATAGGTATTCCATTCAACATGGTCGGTGACGTACATTAAAACAAAAATGAATAAATACAATAAAATCTGTCACTACCTCTGAAATCAGATACTCCACGACTTTGGGGTGATCAAACATTGCAGCTCTGTAGTCATAGAAACAGAAATATGTTTTGTGTAAGACTTGTATACATGAACGTAATTCGAGTCTAAAAACGTAATCATTCATACGTAGTGTGTCGTGTAAGGACGTATTAAATTAAAAGCATGTAACTGGAAGTCTATGTATGCAGCAAAGATCATAATCTACGCGCGCGTTATTCCAACTTATTTTGACCAATGACATCACTGAACGCAGTGTACGCTTGGAAAGTTTAGATTCTCTAAACTGATTCGCACTGCAGAAAATATACGCTTCGTGATTATGAAGGACAATAGAAAATCTGCGACAAACACTAACCTCCTTTTTTTGCAATATTACATTTTTACCAAAATTGGCCAGTAGTTTTGTAATGTTTGAATTGTTTTATTTGAATATGACTCACTCTTTTCAAAACTTGACGTCTATTCCCCGTTTGTTGTATACTTGTGGATTGTTTCGTTTGTTTTATTATGTATGTTCTTAACTTGTAAATCATCTTTATTGATTGTGAATTCTTTACAGCATAATCCTCAATGGAACTTCCATTACATAGAAATTATAATAGTGGACGCAACTGAACAATATTTGCGAGACAGAAACAAATCTCGAGGCACCTCACCATCAACGAGATCTCGACGAGCGTTTGCATCTCATAGAAGATTCTTGATGACAAAGTTTGAGACATGAGAATTGGTGTATGTAAGTTTACATATGTTACACTTACTTGTGAATAGGGGTCATATGTTCAATATCAGTAACTCGCAGCGTCTGCCTGGTCTTGTCTTGCAGCGAAAACATCACTTTAATCATTTCTATAGCGCCTTGAGAGCAAGCTAGATGCACCGGTGTTGATTTATCGCTCTGTAACGCGAAAATAAATGCGAATTTCATGTGAAATTATTAATTTCCACAACCGCCACGGTCGCGTTCATTGAAGAATAATTGTGCAAATTGTATCTATCTCTTATCATGTTAAATATTGAATAACCACACCTAAATAATTCTGCCACTAGTGTATGATTTAGTAGCGAATAATTTTGATTCGGCGTCGTTCTTAGAAACATCACAAGATAAAACAAACAATTATATTGCCTTTCATATTATGATTAATGGAAGTATGAGGCCACACATACATGCAGTATTCTCACCAGATACGAGAAATGAACCATTTGCCTCATGGTTTAATTTTTATATATATATTTAATTTTTACAAAAATGTAAGAAAATACAAGTGACAAACATAATAAAACATTTGAGTACACAGTCTCCACTAAAGGGGAACAAAACACTTCATTTCTGTCTCTAGTTCCACATAGATGGGTAATTGTCTTGTACATTTTAAACTGATGGAAAATGTATTTAATTCCTCGTGAGAACTGAAAACCGTTGTAAGAAATTTGAATAATTCACTTCCTCACTGCTTCGAGTTTCGCCTCATGTTTGTTTTGTTAACAATAAACAATGGTGAGTGAGTGTGATAGCTACCACGTGTTCCGCCAATCACAATTATGATTGTATAAAACAAACGTTCAGTCTATCGCCATGTATGGCCAACACAGACACAACAGAAATGGACTGATAAGAGTATCGCTGTTTAGTTAACACCGAGGGCGCACACCCACCTGTTGTACGTCTAGTCTCGCGCCACTCTCAAGACAAAGCTTAACGGCTTTTGTATCTCCCCCATTGACGGCAGAATGCATGGGCGAGTTTCTTTCTTTGTCCACAAAATTCAATACTGCATCCCTAGTATATCCCAACTTTTCAACTAGAACGAGAAACAACACGCAAAATAATAACATTTGCTATAATTATTATTGAAACTTACAAATGCATTATGGTATGAAATGAAATTTGAGTGAAATAAAGTGAAAAAAGAGAAAAAGCAGCAGCATTAGCTACTATTATTTACTAGTATTCATTGTCACGGTAACAAAGCGGAACCGGAAAAGTTGTATTGATTGATATGCGAATAAGGTGACGTAATGGTATTTGCCACAATGGTTACCTTCGTCAAGAAGTAACTTCAGTACATTAGCTGACGCATGCGTAGCAGCAGCGTGGATTGGGTATACACCATTGCAATCTTTCGCGCACAGTTTGGGTTTAAATTCAACCTGTGAAAATAAGTGTGACGTTAGCTTAATAAATCACG